TGTATTTATTTCAAACATGCGCCTGCGCTAAAGTCACCACCTGTTGCCTTCCCAACGCCAAGTCTACTGTATACACACGCTTCATGTACAGCCATACAACAGCAATTGTCATAAATACACTCTCTTTGCCGTATTAAAATGTAAAATCGAACGAAACAGAAAATATACATTTTCACATAAAATGGAAAATCCTAACTATGACTTTCAACAATATTTCCCTCAGATATTTTACAATTTCCAAAAGATACAGCAAATTATATGATTCTTTCAAATTCATTAAATCTCTTCAATGCGAAAAAAATGTGAATAAAACAGTTGTTCTATAAACAAACGCTCACTATGAACATAAAAAAACAACAACACAAATGAGGAAGAAACAGTAGTAAAAAAAATGTACACAGTAACAGTGTGAAGTGGAAAGAAGAACATAAAATTCAAATCAAATTGGTATGGTCGATGTTTCGAAGCATAGAATATGATAGCCTAGTAAAAAAGAGAGATGTTTTTTACGTTTTCCATCCGATACAGCAAATGCATCGGGCAAAAGATGAGAGAATTTTTTCCCAAATTTTAAAAGATGTGCACACCGAAATGCCACAACAAAATTCACCGACAACAGCACACAAACACCATACAAAAGTGCAATGCTTTGATTCTAGCATTTGCAACTAATTCTTATGGTGACTCATGGTGGACGAAAGAACCCAGAGCGCATAAATGTTAAAATTGAATTCATCGTATGAATTTCTCAAAGTAATTCGTATCACAATTGCAAATGTCGTTTTGGTTTTGGTAGATTTATCTGTGCAAAAATCCACTGTCCACTATGACCGTAACGAAAACTCGACCGCCATGTTCGCTATTGCTGTTGCTGCTCAGTGAATGAAAAGAATAAAAACGAAGATGATGAAATTGAACGAAGACAACGATACAAAGAAATTCTCGACCATAAAGTGAACTCAACGTTTCGTACAGTATCGCATGTGAACCTAGGCCAAATGAAACGTTTGAAATGTCGAAAATTTATTTTCGAATGCATACTTGAGCGAAGCACGATTGCATTTGTCTATTCTTGTACATGTGTTGCCGACGAAAGTCAATTTGGTAGTATCAATTCGTTGATGTTGTTGCGCGCATGATTTTTGTGTATGCGTGACAAGCAAAAATTCAACAGACAAATTCGTAAATTGTACATGTTGAACGATTCTCAACGCCTGATCGTTTACAATTTTACAATATGTACTTTGACCAAAGTGAATTGGAGAATTGAATTCACAATCCCCAGGTTCGAAGTCATATATTTTCACAAGCAAACAACGCGTAATTTTCAACAGAACGCATCCAAATCTTAACCTTTTGGTGTATTGTTTTTCATTTTGAGCTGAACGAAGCTCGTTTTTTTTTCTTCGTTTGTTCTAAATGAATAAAAGTGGTTTCGTATGTATTCTTCATTGTTTGTCATTCTCTACTCATTGGCGCGGTTTCCACAGAACGTACATTGTGAACGACTATTGTATTGTTACTGTGACTTATGTGCGCCTGGTACATAGCCACAAAAACACGTTCTCTAGAGCGCTTCAAAGACCTTTATAAAACCTTTATAAAACATTATTGTAACTTTCTTGCGACAACATTTCAACTTCCATGAACATCACTACGAAAACGATGCATGAATGAATGAACAGTCGACATTGTTACAAATATCGGTTTGCCACATTCGAATAAATGTGACAAGCGTACGAATACATGATGCTACCAATTCTGGGTGCCTGTTCGATAACCAAAGAAACGATAGGCCGCGGTCGTACACGCGTTCACGACCGAGCTAACGACATACAAACATTGCCACGAATTTATCAATACACATTCAACAACGACACCATAAACGCAACCATTAAAAATGACCGCTCTTCGGAACGTACTTCAGTTTTGCATGTGCTAAACTTTTTTCTCGTATGATGTTGAAATGTTTAAATATTTATAAAAAAACAGCATTCTTATTTTGAATTGTTCACGAATTTTTCGTGTAAAGAAAATTCCGATTTTTACTGATCATTTTCAATAATCGTAATAATTTTAATTCCAAATTATTTTTTTTTGCCAATTGAAAATCACGCTAATTTATGTATGCCTGATCGTTTGAAAGCGAATTATTGTCATTATCATCCGAATGAACTCTCCATCATGAACAAGAAGTGCATATTTCGTAGATATTATGGTTTTATTAGACGGTGCTGTCATTTTCTGAACGAACACCACGATTGGAAATGGCCAGTTCCCGATTGTCAATGTCAAACTGTCTTTATCGTTCGTTCTGTCGTTCGTTCGGTTGTACGTTCATTGTTGTTTCTGAACATACGACTTTTCGCTTTCGCTCTATGTGTGCTGCCGAATTGTATTGTTGTGTATTTCTGTGTGCCTGATCAATAATCAAAGAAAACTAAGACGGAAGAGCAAGCAAGTTTCGAACTATTTATTGAATACAAAAATGATGTCTATGTGATTTAGCGTACTTCTCCTTTTCTCCCATTCGTTAAATAGCACAGTTCGGTTTTGTTTTTGAATAATCTTATAGGCGACCATATGCATGAGTGTATGCTGAATCCGAAAAACTACTTCGTACATACGTCGACGTGTTAGTTTTGTGCCATATAGTTGAGCAGATGATAGTAATCGTGTCGAAAATGTTTGTGAAAACTATTGGAAGGAATTGAAATTGATGAGATCACCGAAACACACGAAAAAGGGGCAAAGACAAAGCGCGCGCACGAAAAAAACAAACATCTTAATAGATTCTGCTTGCCTGGCCAAAAGAACCAAATGTTCGAAAAAATGAATTAATGTCGCGCGATTCATAATAATAATTGGTATGGTAGACATTATATTCGATCGTCACAGTGCACTCACTCGATTTCGTGTCTTGTGTTCGATTTCAACTGAACCGAAAGTGCCGTGAATACGAAACGAAAACAATATACGTGTAAATATATATCGCTCTCTTTTTTCGTATTGTGTCTTGTTAAATTGTTATCAACATGTGACAACGGCCAATCATTTTACTCGTATGACCATTGTTTTATGATCGCCTAGTATTAAACGGAAAAGTTTGTGTCAATGACTAAAACGTTTATGTCAATGAGAGAATTTTATAAAAACTTGCATTAGAGCTTCACCGAATAACACACAAATACACGATCTATGACATTTGAGTTCTTTTTTGAGTTTTCGTTTTGCGCAGCAAAACCGCAGTGAAACTGTGACAAAAGTTACACAGGCACAATGACATATACACTCGAGTCCTAAATTTCTACTAACTATAAACTTATGTTTGCCTGCTCGCAAACGGAAAAGTTTGAACAAATTTAGAGGTTTACTAGAGTTTATTTAGAATTTTAAGATGAATTCAATTCAAAAGCAACGTCATAGCTCCACTTAGAAGTGCGGTTCAAATCCATTCGAAGACATTTTTCACAAAACTTTTTTTTTTTTTGAAAATATCAAAATTGAATGTTTTTTTCGAAATCAAAAAATAAAGAAATACCATAAAATCATAATTAAAATTAATAATAAAATCGATTTGATTGTTCAGTTTAAATATTCATTGGAAACGATAATTTACAGGGCGCTGCCATTGTGTCACACACAATGTTCACTACATACTGATCCGATCGTATATTTGATAGAGTCGACAACTGGTGGCAGCGTAAATTTCGCCCCATCATTGTTTAATAATATGGAAATGATTAGGATAGCAGTAAAATGTGGCAGATGAGCATACACAGTATTGCCGCCGCCATCGATGACAACGTAACTGAAAGACATTCCATATTCGAGTATGTATCCATTGTGTGTATGATATACTGATAAATGGAATTGCAACTGCTGGTTGGAAAAGTGCAACCGAATTTTATTTTCGTGTTCGTCTAGCACGGAAGAGAAGAATGGAATTTTGCTTTGGTGATGCATGTGTGTATGTGAGTCGTATTTTCAACGACAGACGAATTGATAAAAGAGACTAAAGTATTTTTACAGCATGCGAATATTGTTCGAATTAGGCTTGCCTGATACTTTTTCCATGCGAATGTTTTTGACTGTGTCATACATACCACATGAACGCAAAACGTGTATCGTTTTCAGCTCTACACACAATGCAATCGAATTGACACGAACGACAGAGAAAGAGTGCGACCAAAATGTGAATGCCCCCATGTGTTGATATGGTAAAATGTGTGAATATACGGCCATACGGTGAAGAAATGCGTGTCCTTGACGAAGCCCTTGGAAATTGGACAACACGTTTCGGATGTTAAGCACATAAACAGGATACCATAAATTTTGACAACGTTCAATGCACCCGTGAATGAATGAAAAATAATACAGGAAAATGTATCCTTTGAATTATATTACAATCACCTTTTCTCTCTCTTGCCTCGTGCCCTATACAAATATATCAATCGGTATATATTGAAGTACGCTTGCATGTCACGTACAATACCATTTCGAAACGTTCCGACTCAGTACATGTTCACAGCAACGTATACTTTTTTATTTCGTGCACAACATAACTTTCCAGTTTGGTTCCTCTGTATTGTGTGTAACATTTCTACAATGCGATTATTTAATACTATGTTGGCTTACAATTATTGAAACCTCATACTTGGCATATCAGCCCTCAAGCTGCTTCAATTTCCACATGCCTCAAATGCAATTTTTTTTTCACAAAATATTGCTTAGAAACGCAATCGATTCAAATTCCTGTTTATTTATAGCACGATAAAAAATTTCTCAAACAGATTTTTTTTTGTAATCGGAGACGCATTTGTTTGATTGAGTATTTGTCAGAATGTTTTGTGTTCGTTTGTTTTCAGTTTATTATTGTTGTTGTTATCGATAGGTTATCGAAAGTGATTTTTGAAGTGAAATTCGCAATTTTCTATTCATAGTTTGTCTTTCAATTATGAGTTAATAAAACAGAATCAATAGAATGTCTCAGAAACGTGTTGTAATGGAAGAAACCAACGGGAACAGTGCACTCGATTGGGAGATTTTTGATGTTTTATGTAGAGGCGAGCTTGGTTTAGACGTAAGTTTTGATGTTTGAATTTTTAAATAATTTCACTACAATTTCTATGAGATTGAAATGTTATTAAAAAAAAATTCTTTACCAATAATACTACATTGTTGCAAATATGAAATGTATTTCAAATCAATCCGAAGCATTAGACAATAAATTTTATCCACACAAGCGATCATATTAAACTTGTCGTAACAAAATGAAAACACAAAACCTAGAAAACATTTTTCTTCTTCTGACAACCGCCGTAATTCAAAAACATATGAAACAATAGTCGAGCATAAAAAATGAATTGAATTTTATTTTATGAATGGCACACAAATAAATGAGGGAAAACATAAGCACTAATCAAAAAGAAAAAAAAATTACAAAAAAACGTTGAATTGAGGACAAATTTTCCATATTTTCCCCGTAAAATGACATGTAAACAAGATTATCAAAGGCACGACAATTTGCAAATCAATTTTTATTTTCTAGTCATATATGAGCGTTGCCATACCAACATTATATTTATTCATTGTAATGAAATAAAAAAAAAAAAACAATATTTGCTCGAAACAGGAATTTCCGTATACACAATAATAATAATGAAGGAACAGCGCAAAACTTATTTATTGATATAGCTACTGCGTTCAGTTGGTTGTATGGAATTTCATAGCTGCTGGCGCATTCCAATACGTCACACTTCGCCTTATTTTTTATTTTATTTTTTAACCACGAACCCTTTAACGTCGAACGACTTTTTCCGTGTCGGTGATTCAATTCGATATCTTGATACATTATATAATGCAGGTAAAAAATAAACACAAAACAAACACGATTGATTCGAATAAAAGGATTTATTTTTAGATTTTCATAATATTTTTGTCAATTTATTGAGTTCCGTGTTTGCAACTTTTTTTCGGTTCTATTTAAAACGATACAGGTAATATAAAAATAGTGCATGTCTTGAATTTAACCATAGAGCTCATCAAATATTTTGTTCTTTTTATTATTTAAATCAAAACAATTGGTTTCTGCGCGACGAAGAATTTTGTCGTTTGTAATTTCCATAAAACGACCACTTTTTGCATAACAACACATTCAATTTTACAAATAAGTTTTGGCAGTGCCCGTGGATACCTCAATAAAAGTGGTCGAAGCAAATTTAATCACATCGTTTTTTTTTTTGGCAGTTTTGAATTTTAAGAAAAAAGAATAAATATTTCTCATTACTTTAAAAATTGAAAATTAAAGTGAGAAAAATAAAATGAATCGATGTGCATCTCCAATTCGTGTGCATTCACCACGTCTTTCATATCGTTCATTGCCACGAGTGCGACATTGTTCTCCAAATCTTCATCATCGCTCACATTCTCCGCATCATCATCGATTACATTCTTCGCACCATCAACATCATCAATCGCATTCACCGCAACCTCTTCATGTAACATCCATTGGATTGTATTGAATTGAAAAAAAATTGCAAAAATTCAAAATTACATATAACTTTTTTTGATTATTTTTTCCAAAATAAAAATATTTTCATTAATTTTGTCAATATATTTCATTCTGTTAAAAAAAATTTGAAGCAGACTGAAGTGCCTTGTGTTGATCATCATCATGTAACGCATACAATTGACTTAACGGCAACGTTGAAAAGTGAATTGGCGGCAGCAAATTACAAACGAGATCGTCTTTTAAATGAATTGGCTGATTTAAAAGGAAATCTCAACGCGCGCGATGCTGAATGTGAAACATTGCGAACCCAAACAGCGAGACAATCGGCTTTAATAAGTTCATTGCAGACGAAAATCCAAGCAATTGAAAACCGAGAACGAACTGCTCAAAGTCGTAGTGAAAATGTGATCCAAACGTTGCATCGTGAAAAGAAGGTGATGGACGATCGAATTAAAGATTTGGTGGCACGAGTACGACGTCTTGAAGGCGATCTATCGAATGAAGAAAGTCAACGCGAGCAAATTAGGTCAGCCGAAAGCCTTACGACTTCCAATTTACATTATCGATTGAATATATTTTTTTATTTTTTAGGGCACAACTGCAAGATTTGATGCGACGCCTTTGTGTTTGTTTGGCCATTGATGTGTCCGATGCAGCGAATTTAAGTACCGAACTGGTCGTAGCTAAAACTGGTGAAATGGTGGCCGATTTACAGCGCATACGTAGTAAATTGTCTTCGACATGCGAATCGCTACACAGTTGTGAAGCGGAATTGTTACAGACCCGTACGGCCGCCTGCAATGATAAACAACGTCAAGATTTGCATTTACAAGAGTTAGAGACGCGATGTCGTCAAACTGAAAGGGATCTGCAAACTGTTCGCGATCGATTGGTTGAAAGCGAAAGTGCTGGCGATAAATTACGCGAAGAATTACGTGGATTTGAATCACGATGTTCCCGCTTACAGAATTCCATCGATCGAATGCAAAACGATCGTTTGCAATATTTACGAAATCTTTCATCGATTGTTTCATTGCCCGATCCATGCGAAACTGTGATCAAGGACAAAGTTCGCGATGTTGTCAATGAAAATCAAGCACTTCAATCGGTAAATTGGATTTGAGATTTCTTTCTTTCTCGCCTCCTCACAAAAATATTGATGTTTTTTTTAGCAATTACACAATTTACGCGATCAAATGAATCTTGAAACGAATAAATTACGAAATGAAGAAATGCAAAAGTCGACGATCGAAGAACGATTGGAAAAAGCATTGCATGATTTACATCAAATGAAGAATGAACACATGACGGTTAATACGAAATTCAAAGGACTTCATTTTCAGGTTAATCTCTTGTTTAAATCATTTTTTTACAGTTATCTGAATATTTAGTTCGAATGTCACGTGCATTGGCATGGAGTGAGTGTACAGCACCACCAGCACCTGGTGCAGACACAACATTACTGGCGGAAACGCTATTGGAGCGCGCTGAAAGATTGACAACCCATCATGACCATCATTCGCATACACTTCCATTGGATCATCATAAGCATTGGGATAGTTGCCATACACTTCATCCTCATCCACATCCGCATTCACACGTTCACATGAAAGCATTGAAATTGAGACGTGAACGATCTTGTCATGATCTTCCCGTAAAAGAATCAACAGCAATGTACAATTTACAGCGAAAAGTTCATTCATTAAAGGATCAAATCCAGAAAAAAGAATTACAAATCGAATTACTAAGAAGAAAATTGGCATTAACAGAAGAAGGTGTGCGTGGAAAGTGCATAATTCAGGTACTGCCTTCATGTTTGATTGTCCCAGAGACTTTTTCTTAGGAAGGAGGTGCGCTCCTCAGTGCTTCTCTCTAAAATTTGCATTTTCGCAACTTTACTGCCACTTTCAAAACATTTTTGTATCGTTTTTAATTCGAAATGTATCTATCCTTTCACAAATGTAGAGTGAACGTGATGAAGCTCTCTGTAGAGCAAAACGAACGTCAAAACAAGTGGAAAAAGCATGCCACGATTTAATCCAAGCAAAGGCTCAAATAGCCGAACTCAAAGCTCAATTGGTGGACGCTGCCGAAAACAAAATCTGTGCCCTCGAAAGAGCTCGCAAAATTGAAGAGTTGCAAACGCGTCACACTGAAGTTGAAAATGAAAAGTGTCGATTAATCGCACAATTGCAAAACTATAAGGCACGTTGTCGATCGGCCGTTGACAGTTCGATAGACAAAAATAGACGTGATGAAACTGTTATAAGCGTATGTATATTGATTGATTTGTGCGTAATTTTCCGGCATGAAAAACATAAAAATATGCTTATTTTTTTAGAATTTAAAGGATGAGATTGCACGTTTGCGAGTTCAATTATCAGAATCAAACCATAAACTTTGTCAACTTCAAACATTCCGCACATCAGTCGCTCGCCTACTTCATTTGCGTGACATTCCACATTCAAGTCTATTACAACGACTCCAAACACTGTGCCAAGCACATCAGGTAAAATAATTAAAACAAAAAAATGGAATATCTTCAAGTTCAAATTTAAATCTTCCTCTCACTTTTGATGTCAAAAGGAATTCACAATGTTGTCTCGTCGATATGAAGCTGTATCTCCAGTCGCCGATCACCCTTGTCCTCGATATGAAACGGATTTAAGACCACCGTCAACACATTGTCGACCATTGAGCTCGTCTCCAGGAAATCCACGTCGTTTTGATGATTCGGGTTTGGACGAGCATTTCGACGACGACTTCGATATTTTGAAGAAAAAATCACATTTTTAAAGCATTCTCACATTTAAGATATTATACGCGTCCACCGATTAACAACCACAAAACATTCAAATAAATTCACAATTTAAACAATTGTATAATGTTATTTTATTTAAGATGAGAGCTTATGATTTATGTAGCTATCTGGCAATATCTGGTTCATGAATCAATGTGTGTTTCAATGTGCAAGTTGAATTCTAACTTTAGTATTTAATCGTACGTAGGCTGCTCCATATATTTCTAGAAAAGCATATACAACGCAAGCGTTTTTTTATCTAAAATGGCTTTATTGTTTTTCAAAGTATTCGCCATGATGGTCGATACACTTTTGCATACGCTCAAACCACTTGCCGTAGCATTCATGCCACTCAGAAACCGATATCTCCAAAACGTGTGTTTTGAACGCATCAACTGCTTCTTCTGGCGTCGAAAATCGTTGACCACGCAGTTTTTTCTTTACGCTCGGAAACAAAAAGAAATCGTTGGGTGCTAAATCCGGACTGTACGGTGGATGACCCATTTATTCGATCTTTTTAGCGGTCAAATATTCAGTTGTGTGATGAGATGTGTGAGAGCTCGCATTATCATGATGAAGAATTATTCTGCGACGGTGGTTATTTTTTCTTAATTCACCAAACATTTCTGGCAAACAAATGGTGGTGTACCAGTCAGAATTGACTGTTCTACGATACTCTAGTGGAACTGTTGCCAAATGTCCACTAATTGCGAAAAAACAGGCGACCATTTGCTTCGCAACACTTCGAGCGCGAACAACTTTCGTTGGATTATCTTCACTTTGGAAAGTGAAAGGTATTTATATGAAGCCAATTCTACATACTAAAAGTCAAGATTGAAAGTTATGCAAATGAGTGGAGACACTGCTCTCTAAAAACTCAAAACCTTCGAGAGTTTGAAAAAATATTGAAAATTGTCGATTTGGCAGAGGGGCATGTGAATTGAAAAATATTAGTTCGAAAGGTATTTATATGAAGGTTCAGCCAATTCTACATACTAAAAGTCAAGATTGAAAGTTATGCAAATGAGTGACGACACTGAGAAGCCAGTGAGAGTGCTCTCTAAGAACTCAACACCTTCGAGAGTTTGGAAAAATATTGAAAATTGTCGATTTGGCAGAGGGAACTGAAAAAATATTAGTTCGAAAGGTATTTATATGAAGGTTCAGCCAATTCTGGGTAAATTAAGTTTACAAAAGTTTCACGACGGTCGGATTAAAAATAAAAAATTTGAATATGACAAATTATCGACAAACTTCATTTTTTTCCTGATTTTTGTAAAAATGTGAAATTTGAGCTATGTTAATTTATCGACCAATTGTCATGAAATTTTGTCTAGATCATTTTTTTGGCAGAAAATTAAGTTTGCCAAAGTTTCACGACGATCGGATTAAAAATAAAAAATTTCAATATGACAAATTATCGACAATTGTCATTTTTTACTTACTTCTGTGAAAATGTGAAATTTGAGCTATGTTCATTTATCGACCAATTGTCATGAAATTTTGTCTAGATCATTTTTTTGGCAGAAAATTAAGTTTTCCAAAGTTTCACGCGATCGGATTAAAAATAAAAAATTTGAATATCACAAGACACAATATTCTGTATCAAGTAGTTACACCATATTCATTTGATGAATCGATTTTGTCAAAAATCAGTGCACTGTTTGGTTGTAGAATTAAATTCGAAAAAATAAAGAACAACAAATACAAACTAATTATTAGATGAATGTTTTGTGATGTTAGAATTAAGAATTCAAATAAACGATGATTAAAAAATCAATCAAAATATTCCATTTTTTTAATTGTCTAACAATCGAATGGAGCTCATTGTATATAGCTCCTTATGGAGAAGCAAATGATTGCGCATATGTGGACAAACTTTACATTTTTGTTAGATTTTAGTAAGTTCAATTGGCAAAGAAAAAAACTACAATTTAATATTGTTAGTGTTAATAATAATATGATATAATTTATTTCTGTATTATCTGATTGAACTATTGAACTCTTTGAAAAAAATACGTTAAATTATGAATCATATATATTTATATAAATATAAGCACCGAGATTTACTCCTGTCATTCATTGGTTTACGTAATTTATATGGAACATTGTTCCATTGTGTCTAGCGTCGATCCCGTGCTTACATAAATGCACGTTGAAGATCTATTCACATTTCACAGGTTGTATATGATTTTAACAATTGAAAAAAAAAATACAATTGATGTTACACAAAGCTTCAACTTTTGATGAAACACCAAACTTAATTCAAATTTAGTGCGGCTATTTGAAACCAGATGGCGTCGGAAGATACTCGTTAGATTGGGTTAATGCCATAAATAGGCACTACGATGTGACTATAAAAGAATTCTGTTTTGATAAGATTTCAATCTTATCTCTAAAACATCGGCCAGTTAAATGTTTTATTTGAAAGAGTCTCTCACATAAATCATGTTGTTAAAAAAAAAAATCATTTTCAAGACAAAATAAAATGAACGGCACGAGATATAATTATTCACAAGAGAAACAAGGCTGGACTTTATCGTCGTTATGTGGTCACTGGTATTTCTAGCGCAATTTCGGCACAAGGGTTTCAATCGGTTTCACAAACGTAATCTTAGTAATTGATTTTTCATACCAAAATCAGAAAAATAACATTTGAGTTGCTGTGCACGTCAAACCGGTGCCGAACAGTAAATTGATAAATTATATTGATGAATGAAAACACATAGCCTTTTTTTAATATCTTGCTACAATTTATTCATGGAATTCGATATAATTGGTTTTCTGTTCGTGTACAATTTGTAAATGCGATTTTGCAATAGTTCATGGGTGAAATGACAAAGCCATTGAAAAACATAGATTTTGCATAATTTATTTGTATGGTTTATCCTGTTATCTTTGTTCTTGTAGACAAAGAAAAAAAAGAGTTGAAATCGATGTCAAAACAGCACTTCAAAAATGTTTTCTAATATTTCAATAATCTGGACAAAAAAAGTCTCAATTTTGAAATTGACAAAACATGTTTGATGCGCTGAAATCGACCGAATCGATTGGCTAAATTCTTAAAATTAACTAAATTCACAAAACCAAAATCCAATAATTTTCTTCCGTGAATTTTTAGAACTAATTTTAATTCAGTCTGGTTTGTGATTTTTTCCCGACTAAAATTTATGTTGGTCAGTAGACTTTTTGAAATGAAACTATGTAAAATTTGTAACAAAAATTTGCATAACTAGAAAAAACAATTGTGAAACAAATAAATT